CATCCCACAAAATGGAAGTTCTAATAATTCCTCATTAGGTTGTTTTTCACTGCACCACTATCAAAGTTTCACAAACCTGAATGAAACACATGATAATTAAAAGAAAAGCAGTAAAAATTGGAGAAAAGAAAGGGATAATAAGTATACAAAGATTACAAGGCCAGAAGTCAAAGAATTTCATCCTAGGGATCCCTGGGTGGCGCAGCGGTTTAGCGCCTGTCTTTGGCCCAGGGCGCGATCCTGGAGACCCGGGATTGAATCCCACGTCGGGCTCCCGGTGCATGGAGCCTACTTCTCCTTCTGCCTGTGTCTCTGCCTCTCTCTCTCTCATTCTGTGTGACTATCATAAATAAATAAAAATTAAAAAAAAATATTTAAAAAAAAAAAGAATTTCATCCTAAGAGCTCAGGTAACCGTAGAAGGGTATAGTCACACAAATTTTTAGGCATACTCATTTAGATTTTTATTAAGAGTCTTCTTTCTAGAGCATTCTAGAAAATTTCTAATCTTTCTTAATGCCTTGAGTTCACTTAAAATATCATTAAGACATCTTGAGATCTTCACTTGTGAGAAATTATGCATTAAATATCACAAAGATATTTCACAAAGAACAAGAAAGTAGACTTTGGAAAGGAAAACTTGCACTCCAGAAAATCATTACTTGATGCAGAGAAGAATATGCAGAAATGAGTAGCAGGGCATTTGGCTGTTTGCCCAAGCTTGTCCCCAAGTGAAGTGAGAAGTGGGGACTTCTCATACTTCCCTGGGCCTTGGTGAACCTCCACTATTCTATTAGAATAATGCAGCTTGTACAGTTTTCTAGATGATCTCCATGACTCTTTCAAATATAAAACACTATGATTCTCTTGAGGTCTCATCACTCTTGACTATCTCTCTTCTCCTGAAGTTTGGGGTCTTAACACATGCACACACATATAAAAATTTCATAATGAATGGCAAGTGACATAGTAAACACTTGTCTTGGGAGCCCCAGAGATATATTTTCAATTAAGTATAATTGATATGCAATATTATATTAGTTTCAGGTATTATATTATACAATATTATATTGATATACAATATTATAATAATCAACATAGTAATTCAATATTTATATACATTATACCTGGTAAGTGTAGTCACCATCAACCACCATACAAAGTTATTACAATATTATTGATCCTATTCCCTGGACTGTACTCTTCATCCCATGATTGATTTATTTCATAACTGCAATTTTGTACCACAGATAGTATGATGGTGTAGTTTACAAAATTTATTTCAAAAATGCCAAGTACTTTACAAAATTCATATCAAAATAGGGAAAAGGACGTGGCCTAATAAACAGAAAGGTATGGGTTGATAAAGGATGCCCATCAAAGGATGAAGCAACATATAATTTAGCAATTCAGACATGACTGAAAAAGGAAAGTGATCATTATTTGATGGGCACAAAATTGCTGTTTCCCAAGTTCCTGAATATTCCAAATTTATTGTTTCTTACCTGTTCTCTATAGCACTTGCCATATTCCTACATTGGGATGAATTATAACGGTTTGTTGGAAGAAGGTAAGTGCACACATACATACATACAGTTAAACAGAAATGCCTACTGTGTGATTTTACAAATGATAAAGGAGATTAAAAACCAGGGTCACTCATAATTCTAAACCCTAGAATTATGCTCTTGGAAAAATATTATTAGAAAAAATGATATGACTAATAGAGAGTAGGTCATTTAAAGCATTCAAAAGGGCAGAAAACAGGTGAATATTTGGACAAAAATGTCCATTTTTCCCCTCTATTTTGTCATGCTTCATAATTTATTTATAATGTTTGGCTCAAGCAAGAGTTTGTGTTGAAACAAACCATAATTTTCTTTTAGATCAGTGTTTCTGAACTTTTGTTTTTCATCATCACTGCCTAAGAAGACTTTTCCGACTCTTTTTTCCCTAATCACTCTCCAGTAAAATTATAACACCACAGATAGACTGTATTTGTTTACACATATGTATATAAGTCCTTTATAGATTTTGAGTAAGATTTTCTCACCCCCTCTAAGAAACTAATTTTCACCCCTTTTGGAGATGATATTGCCCCCTTGAGAATGCATGTTTTATATTGTGGTAAAATAGGAATGCCATATAAGCTGCTGAAAGATGGCAAGATATAGATACCAATGCAGCCCTCACTTACCGAACAGTTACAGATCAGAAGAAAACATAAGAATATTTAAGCATGGCTTTCCACATGATCTCCTACTACACATTCTTACTAAAATAAATAAAAATCGTAAATCACAGATTCTGAAGCAAATCAGCAAAAGAAAACATTAAGAAAAAAAAACAGAAAATAGAAGTGGTATTAGAGGAGGAGTCCCAGAAATTCTTGGGAATCACTTTCTGAAAAAAAGATAGAGAAAGGAAAGATAGGAGGAAAAATAAAGAAGGCAGAAAATGAAAATATCATAATATCTTTGGTAGTTTTATTTACCTCAAGATTTTTAGAAGCCAACTTTTATATATGGACTTTTACATAAGGCTCCTGGAAAAAGAGGATAGAGCCCCAGTGATGGAGTCCATTCTGTGACCCATCAGTCAGTGGAAATGACATGGCAAGAAAGGAGTGCTCATATCTGGAGGAAATTGAGAGCAGATAGGGAAATGGAGACTATGAACATTCAAGAGAGATCTTTGCATTTTTACACTTAACCCTCTGCACATTTCAATGGTTGGGATGCATGAGAGAACAATGGCTCAAGAACAATTTAAATTTTACTTGTTCATGTGCAAAAATAGCACAAAACCCAAGACACTTCCAGGGATATTTCATAATTTATGTAAACATTCTAAAACAAACTTTTGAGCATTAATTAAAACAATAGATGAGAACATGCATTGGCATCCTAAAATCCAAAAGAAATTCAAGGCAGGGCTGTTTACAATGATCCTGAGATTGACCATTCTCTTCGTCCTCTTCTCCTTTCTATTTAATGACCTCTTCTTTTCTGTCACCTTTGCTGGCATGGCTCCATTTTCTGTACTCTAAAAAGGCAGCTGCTAAGGTCAATTTTTATCTTCCTGTCTCTGCTCTCTTCCATGGCAAGCCCCTGAATTCTCAGTTTATCAGCTATCATGTCTAGGCAAACCTCTCCCTAAACCATCTTTCTGGCCTTACAGAGTTTCCTGATGATCAAACATAATTGTCAACTGCCTACTAGATATGGATTTCCTCTCAACACCCCAAAATCAAGATGAACAAAATAAAGATCATCATCATAAAACCTCCTGCTTCCTTATTTCTATTAAATAAATGTCATAGAAATGTATGATAGGTATGCCTCTTGTCCTCACCCATGTGCTCACTTGGCTATCAAGACAATTCATTCCACCTGCTGATGTTGCTCACACCGGTTTCCTACACTAGCAGACCTTACATGTCCCACCCAGACTTTCACAATTGCATTAGCACTGATATGCTCTAATCCCTCTCTCTTGTCTCTCTTGGATAAATTCTATGTGCTCTTTTCAAAATCATCCTATCCGGCCATACCACAAAATAATTTAAATAGTTATACATTTGTAACCATTTTCAGTCAATATTGAAGCTTTCTCTCCTTTTCTTCCACACTAATGTCCCTCTAAATTCCTATTGTCCCTTGTAAGTACCAGATGGGCCCATCTAGTAGCTATCCATTAGCATACCCTACCTCTTTCCTCGGCATCTTGTTGAAATGATTCCCTCTGCTTAAAATGTTCTTCTCTTTTCTTTCAACCTCACCCAACAAGGTCTGACTCTCTGTCAAAACTAAGATCAAATTCACCTACATGTTAATGATTTTCCTGAATTTCTTCTCTGGACTTCAGAGCACAATGTCATTGTGCTGTGTCACATTCTACACTCTATCTTTATTGATAATACAAAGCCATAGGATGTGAATATATTTGTATGTATCATCATTTTTCCTTCTTGTGCCCAAAGCAGACATCGTTAATCAACTGCAACACTCTTTCTCATTAAATCCAGACAAGGTCTCAGACTCCATCTCAGCACCACATGTCAGGCAGCCACTCATTAAAGTTGATACATGAACACAAGACCTGGATTATAGTAAATATCCAATAAACATTAGTTATTATCATTAGTATTATTCTCTAGCATAATACTCATCACAGAAAGTAGAAGATGATCGAAGATTATTGGTTAAATGAACTGCTACTAAAATGTCAACTTGTCTACATTTCTTCATCTTTGTTACTTAAATGAAGAAGATGGAAAACTTGAATTCCTTTCAAGACAGAGTTTTTCTGTCATACTGAAGAAAACTATGCTATTTCCCAAGTAAAATGCCATAATTCCTTTCTCTAATACATGTATTGATCCCTAATTAATGCTATAAACCCTTCAATTCAGAATGAGTGCCAATGTCATCAGCTCCAGAGAAATTTGAGGAAATTATTTCATCATTGAATCTTCTGGATGGCTGATGTTGTTGAGCTAGCCATACAGCTGCATTCCAATGGAAAATCTGGGTCCTGTTTAAAGTGGACACAGGCTACAAGTACTGTATTTGTATGGATAGTTTGACTGTCTGGGCATGTCCCTAAGAGAACAGGTGAGAGAGGAATGTGCTTGTGGAAGCACATGTGGAAACATCTGCTCTTAGAGATATCATCTATTTACTCAGGATGCTTGCAAGTTTACTCTTCCCTGATTTTACATACTGTGATTGCTGTTCACATGTTGTCTCTTGTCACCCAAAGATAATGGCAATGACAATGATGATGATTATGATGCTGTTGATGATGAGGATGGAACGAATATCTTATCTGCATAATCCTCTCTCATTTACAAATATGAGGAATGGCTGACAGAGAAAGAAAAACATGTAGACACAGGGAAGAAGAGGAAAGCAGGGACACTTTAATTAAAAATAACAAAACTTAAAAAAAATAATAACAAAACTTCTCATGGAAGGAAGATTCTAAGCTCCCCTGCAAGATTGGAGGCAGAAGATATGCCCCATTTTTTCAGAGTCTTGTTCCAAGTTGGTTAGTGAGTCTCAGAAGAGAATGGAGGATTCTGGATTTGATGCCAGAAGTTCTAAAGTCTCAAATTTCTGGATTCAATTTTAGACCTTTTAAAACATTATTTCTCCTTTTCTGTGATGCTTTCAGGGAATGAGATACTTTGACTACCCCAAGATCCCTTAGATCACTCATTCTCCTGCAGCAATTAACTCCAACTTTGGTCATGTTTGTGTTATTTTGCTAGACTGTTTTTTTGGGAAGGGAATCATGTTTTCATGGTGATGACAGAACAGTCCAATGTGGTGTCTTTCACCCTCTTGGGGCGCCAGTCACGGTAGTGGGACAGAAGACCACCACTGATGCCACATCTGCTCTTTGTCTCCATCTGTGTGGGTTTTATCACCTGGGGAACCAATGAAGATGATCGTGTCCTACTGGCTGGGCTTGCAGTTGGGCTAAACATAAATGCCTTTGTTATTCTCACTGACTTGCAAATTCAGATATTGACTTATTGCAGCTTCTGATCTTCAGGCCAGAAGTCTAATCTTGTGAAATGCTGACTAATGTTTCCATCCCTGAAGTCACACAATTCCTTTGATCATGGAGGAAAATGGTGTAGAAATTTTTAATTGAAGCCCTTTCTGTCCTAAAAGGGTATCCTAGGAAAACAAATAAACAAAAGTAAGATTTGGCAAAAGAGCTTTTATTCAAATTTCTAAAACCGTGGAGCATCTAGGTGACAGAATTGTCTGAACAGGACCCTTGGTTTGAAATAGCTCATTTTTAAAAAATCACACAACCAACATGACTAATTGCATGATTGCAGGTAACACGTGGTAGCAGTATCAGAGGTCTGGCTGCAAATTGACCACTAGGAGATGCCGGGACAGTCTGGGCACCTGTTAGAAAGACACATGCAAATAAGGCAAATAAAAAAACAACAAAACAGACTCTTTAAAAGAACTGATGGGTAAACCTCATAATTTTCATAGAAGACAAAACATTTATGGCTGAGTCACAGATGCTTGAAATGGAAAGATGCAATTTATACATAATGTATATATAGCAATTACATACATACATATAATTGAAATATGTCTTCTTTTGCCATTTTTAGGGAAAAGAGTATACAAATTGCTAATTCATTTTCAAGCTATCTAAACCCATGAGAAAGATGTACCCCTTGGGCTTCATAATCTAATGTGTTCTTTCAACTTTCTTATAAACTGGGATGTTTTAAATTACTATGAAATGATAACACTTAAAATTGTTTTTGCATCATTCATTTATATCAAATACAATATTTCCTGAGACTGACATTCTCTTAAAAGCACATTGTGTCTTGGCATTTCCTTATAGCTCACAGTTGGTGCCAGATGACATGATCACAAAACATGTCTCTTTACAATCATTTTGGTTTTGCATCCTCTGTGCAGTACCTGAGTCTGTCCTTGTATCTCTTTTTCTTTCAATGTCTCTGCTGTGTCACTAAGAAATTAAGATAATGACAATCTCCCAAATTCTGGAAGATACTTTAGACAGTCAACAAACTGCTTTGCTTTTCCTGAGAGAGCATGAGTTCTGGACAAGAAAAATTTATGAGGCTGAGTTCTTTTTTGTTGTTGTTGTTTTTGTTGTTGTTTTAATTTTTATTTATTTATGATAGTCACACAGAGAGAGAGAGAGAGAGAGAGAGAGGCAGAGACATAGGCAGAGGGAGAAGCAGGCTCCATGCACCAGGAGCCCGACATGGGACTCAATCCCAGGTCTCCAGGATCGCGCCCTGGGCCAAAGGCAGGCGCCAAACCACTGTGCCACCCAGGGATCCCCCAGGCTGAGTTCTTGATGCAGATTCAGCTGTGAGAGACCTGTTGGTATCTGTTAGTGGCTCACTTTCTTCATTCCTCAGAGTAAATGTAAGGTATTTGCTTATTCTGAGTAACTTCTTACACCAAGAAAAAGTTCCCTGAAAAAACAGGGGTGATGGACCTCAAAAACATTCTGCTAAGTGAAAGAAGCCAGATGGGAAAGACCACATATTGTATGATCCCACTTACATAAAATCTCCAGAACAGGCAAATCTGTAAAGACAGAGAGTGTATTTGCTGGAGTCTGGGGGTGGGAACAGGGATTTACTGTAAATGGACCCAAGGGATCCCTTGGGGTGATGGAAACATTTTAAAACTGGATTGTGGTGATGGTTGAACAACTCTATAAATTTACTAAAAGTAGTTGAATTATACACTTAAAACAGATGAATTTCATGGTATGTAAAAAATAGAATGGATATCTAACAAGGTAATTATCACCTTCTAACGTATGGAACATACTATATTCAGAAAACAAACAGTCACTCTGTAATTGCACACCTGCATACAAAAAAAATTCAAAGAATTTGCTTAGTTTGTTTTATATTTCAGTAAAAGCTATGAACTGAATACAGTCGTGTTGTGCTTCAACTGTACAACAATTTCTCCCACAGCCTACAGTTCACTCTATTATATTTTAAATCTATGATTTTAAGCAAAGCCTGTAATCTAGGCATTTGGGGGATTCCTGGGGAAATTCCAAGCAAATTTGTTGGAATTACCCATTTTAAACATTACCCAAGAATTACATACCTTTAATCTTTTTAGGCCATTATTGCAACTTTCTAACTGTTATAATTTTAAACTCATGGAAAACTTGCAAGAATAGTACAAAGAATTCCAAATGCCATTAGCCAGATTCACCAATTGCTTAAATTTTCCCCATTTTCTTTATCCTTCTTTCTCTGCATGTATTTCTTCAATTTTTTTCTTTTTTAAATACAAACATACTGCATGTGCATTGGAAAAATAAAATGATTTATATAAGTGTAATTTCCCCACCTCCCTAAGCAAAAAACCATTATTAACAATTTCTTGAATTGTTTTCATAGTGTTTTTGAGAGAGCCAAATTGGAATAATTGTCAAAATACTTGGCATATTATAAATTATATTTACAAATACACATTACTATCAAAAACAAAACAAAAAACGCACTCAATTCGATTTTCTTCTTGCTAATGAGCTGGCATTGAACTTGTACTCTCTTCCTAGTAGATTAACTGCTTTGGAAGGCAGTGAGAAGGCCTGGGGTGGTCAGCCTCTGAACTGACTGATTAATGGAATGAATGAGAGAGCCAAGTGGAAAGTCCCAGCAAAGTAGATGCAAGGATCACACTTCTCTAATATGTATCATCTGATATTCAGAGAAAAGCAGAGGCACCTGTGCACTCACAGATCCAGACAAAGGAAATGAACTGACATTGCTGTGTCTTGTAATTGTTTTTCCTGGCCATCTATTTCTAAGCCACTGGCCTCCCATCAGTGATCATGTGTACTTGGAGTCACAACAGACAAAACACAGCTGAGCCAGCGCTAATCGGAGGCAGTTCGTAGAAAGAACCCCTGGCTGCAACTCTACTGACAATGGACAGAGGGAAGTAAAAACTAACAGGGAATGAAAAGGAGCCATGCTAACAAAGAACATATTAGAACAACAGCCACGACAAGAAGTGCCCCATCTTCCACATGCTTTCCTTCCTGCAGCTGCCCTAGCCCCAAATTTCTCACAAGGAACCCTCCTTGCCTCATGGAACCTCACAGGTCCTGTGCAGATGTCCAGTGGGTATGCAGACTACAGCAGTGGCTATAAATACAAGCAAACCCTTAATATGCCTGGGAAATGGCTAGAAACAACTCCTCTGAAAGAGCAAGGTCTTCCAACACTACAGGGAAGCCTGTGAGTACACATATGATACCTGTGCAGGTGTTGGATTTGGTACACAGTGGCTGTCATGGAAATTAGCCACACCATCTCGGCATTCACCTCAGTGGCTGGAGAAAGTGGATGAACAATGTTCGTTGCCTGATCAACACTTGCTATGGTCAAGCAAAGAAGATAAATCTGAATTTTCTTGTCTGTAACTAGACTCAAGAAGAGAATTTCTGTCTGAGTCCACCTCAATCCTCATTGAGTATATTAAACAGACTCTCCATGGATCTGGGCAGCTTCTCAGTGCTGATTCAGCTCTGGTGACTGGGTCAGCAATGGGCCTGCATCGTACCATAAGTCACCTCTCTGGTTAGACCAGAAGCAGCATTATATGTCCATTGGGTCTTTGAACCATTATATGTCCATTGGGTAGAGTTTGAGAATGGTTTCCTATGGAGTGCGTACATACAGTTGCTCTATTATTTCTCCTAATTCTGGCCATCATGGTGCAGTGGCTAAGACCATGGACTCCAGCGCCAACTGTCCAGGTTCAATTGCCAGTTCTTGGGAAACCTTGGGCAAGTCAGTTTCTGTAAAACAAGGATCGCTTTGGTATCATTAATTAGTAATTATATATTAATGATACCATTATTATCATTATTCTATTTATATAATATGTTATTTTTAAAGCTTCCTTACTTCCCTAACTCATAAAACACACTTGAAAAAATGACATCTAATGAATGGGAAATTGAAAAATGATGTGTATTCTTCCTACATCCACTCATGCTTTCTCTACTCTCCAGAGGTCACCTGGTTTGCTATTTTAAAATGCAATGTTATCATCTCATTTCCTTGATTATTTTTTAAAGTTTCCCATGGCTCTTGGGTAATTTCAAAATGTTGAACATGGCCCCAAGACCCTCCATGATCTGACCTTACCACTTCTCCTTTTTCATCTTGGGCACCTCGCCCTTGGGCCTCCCTAGCCCCATGGTAGGTTCTCAGAACCTTTGCATCTGCCCTTCCCTCAGACCAGCACTCTTTGCTTCCTACCTCTACTCCATTAGCTCCCTCTAATGCTATCTTTTCAGTTACTTTTCTGGTGCTCCAGGCAGGTTAGGGCTCCCTGCAGTCCTCTTTCATAACACTGCAAAAACTGAAATTATTTGGAAACATATCTTTTTACTTTCGTGATCGTTGTTGTTTTGTTCCTATAATTATCATGACCTGCCTAGCATTTCTTAAGATTTTTTGAGGTTGTTTTTTATCTTTATGTCCTAGTTCTGCACTAGTATAGGTTTTATACACTTTGTTGCTATTCTTCTGTGGCTACTCTAAGAGTTTGAACATGGATATTAACTTTACAAAGTGTAAATTTGTCAACATCTAAATAACAAGAGAAACTTGGTATGCTTTTTTTTATTTCAATTCAATTAGCCAACATATAGTACATACTTAGTTTTAGATATAGTGTTCAATAATTTATCAGTTGTGTATAAAACCGATGCTCATACATCATATGCCCTCCTTAATACCCTTCACCAAATTACCCCATCACCCCATCACTCCATCCACCTCCCCTCCAGATTGGTTTGTTTCCTAGAGTTAAAAGTCTCTTGATTTTTCTCCCTCTCTGGTGACTTCCCTTTCAGTTTTTCTTCCTTTACCTATAACCCTCTGCACTGTTTCTAATATTTCACATATGAGTGAAACCATATGATAATTGTCTTTCTCTGATCAACCTATTTTACTCATCATAATATCCTCCAGTTACATCCACATCAATGTAAGTTGGTATGCCTTTTTAAAAACACATTCTCTCCTGATTTATATAGAATTATTACATATTTTAGTGTCATCTCCAACTGTTAACAATTAGACATTGTTTTAACAAATGATTACTTAGATGTATTCATG